CAAAAATTGGCTGCTCAGTCTAAAATGCCTGGGCCTATTTTTGTCCCAGTCCAGGCCTGGATGGTAGACTACTCCTCCAATTAATACTAGTGATGGGGCACTATTCCTCCTCCTGCTGACCACCAAGTCTAAGACATTGTCCACCCTCACTGATGCTGGGGCATTGTCGACTCTCACTGACCACAGTAGGGCCCTCCTAAAGTCTGAGGGACAGTAAACTGGCCCTTTGTTTGGAATGTTTGGAAATCCCTGTTCTAAACTATTGCAGTAATCCTAATACTTGTCTAGAGTTTAATTCCCACTCATCTGACCATCAACCGAGAATGTCTATCCACTGCAAATGACAAATAATACAATTCCATGAAGGTCAATGCTGGCTAAAAATAGTACCTTCTCTTCTAGTTCATTGCACTGATTGTTGAAACAACCTGGGAATTCATAAACAGAGTAGCACTTTAGCCCTCGTTTCTATACATATGGAAATTAAATGAAAATAGCTCTGCAATAATACATTGTCTGTGTATAACTGCATAAATGTACAAAATATACATTGCATGCAATACATCATATATTCCTACAAAAAAATATGCTCTGAAGTTGGAAATACAGAAACTTGAAGCTAATGGAATAAGACACTTGATTTTGCTCCATTGGCATGATAGGAAGTTGCACTGTATGCTAAACAGAGTCATAAATAAAATGTTACTTAAAACTGATTGCAGTGTCTGGGTAATTTAAAGATCCAATGGCCTCTTTTCTCACAGTGACCTTTACGAAAAGTCTCCATTTTTTATTGATTGATTTTTGTCTCATCCTTCCAGATGGATGAAGTGAAAAGGATGCCATAAAAAACACACAGGAATAAAAGTGGAGACAGTTGTGCTTTGTAGTTGTGCTGATGTGTTATGAAAATAACTTAGTCCTCCAGATGAGATTAGGAAAGACAGAACACACGCCAGCGGATGGATCAGATGTGATGACAACATGCAGACATTTGGCTTAAATGCTGTATAAAGTAGAAAATGATAATTTTGTTTTCTTTTTAATTCTAGAAATTTTAGTTCAAATTGAGTTTATTATGTTTTAGAGGTATAGCATACAAAGGAGAAAGAAACAAAGCACTGATAATAAAAAAAAAAGATAATTTACCTGCATTATATTAGTACTGTATATCTATTAAAATAGCATGGTGATAAAAAGCTACAATATTAATAATATTTATAGGTGCTATTTTATTCTGTGATTTGATGTGCCTAAAGGCAAGAGTCATCATTGTCTGATAACATGCGGTATCAACCAGTTCCTATGACAATTGAGTTCTGTATAGGAAACTGACAAACATAGCATATGAACCCAAGGACAGCAGTCAGGGAAAAGTCTAATAATTCTTTAGATATTGTAATTATAGACTATATTTATTTCAAATCAAGCCAAAGACTAGATATGTACTAGAGATCACAGTCTTATACAAGTGTACATGTGTATGCTGATAGCAAATATGTAAATATAATTCCAAATGGTTTTACATCCACATTTTAGCTAAAGTGTTATTAAACCCACAACAGTAAAATCAGTCTGTATATGCAGTAAAGCATTCTTGTTATACTCACTGTTGAACATAAGGGGTTATTCCTCTGTATTGTGTAAAAAGGATGTTTGATCCTGTCTTCTCTGATCCTCCCCTTCTTCCACATTCTGCATTTCATCTCCTGATAGAACACAGCCTCAGAGACACTCAGCACATGCTCAGTTTGGCATGTACTACTAGAGAGTTTTTTTCTTTTTCTAGGGAGGGTACATGTGATCAGCACAGGGACAATCAGCACTGTCCAGACAGAGGGTCAGGGTTATGCTATCTGACAGGGCAGTGAGAGGAGAGTGAAAACTCCTCCTACAAGCTTTAACCAGTGCTCAAGACTGCTCTAACTGCTGATGAAAAAAGGTATTTAGCAGTTTATATTTACTAAAATAATTGCACTTCCATGATCTGTGTACTGTGGGAGACCAGATATAGTGAATGCAGGGTCCTGGGTGTAGTAACACTTTAAAATGGACCTGATCTCAGAAAGTGAAGATTTGCTTTATGTTGCGATCACCCCCAAAGGAGCCACTGTTTCCTCAGGTCCTCTGCTCCCAGTGGCCATTACTCTGAACGAAGCCCCACACTCACCAACACACCTGTAGCATTAAATGGGCTTTAATGTACAGACAAAAGCCCTGTAGGGAAAAAATAAATGGCGCACCCAACAATGACAATACAACTCAACAGGACATCTAAAGCAACACAGGATTGTAACAAGAGAGACAATATATAAACCTATGATAAAGAACAGCAAACTATCTAGGTGACTGGACTGAAAGATAAAGTAATCACTACCTAAACCACTGGCCAGTCGGCCTAACTAAAGTTAGTCAGTGCTGGGGTCCTGGATCTATTGTTGGAGCGCTCACTCTTTCACACAAAAGTATTTATAATCCAATGAGAGAAAATTAAAGAGAGTGCAAGACTGATTCCCTCCACAGGCATCAACTGTATATAGCAAGAACATCAGCAGGGTTAGTATTAAACAAGTGACCAAAGGGCCTCCCACCACTCCCAATGATCATAATGTGTTTTCTTGAAGCCCGGTGGGGGGCATCATGCTGAATGCACAGGGCGTGCCCCTGAAGGCAGTGTTGGAAGAAACTGCAACCTACATTGTGGAGGTTGTTTTTTGGCATTATGGAAGGGGAGTGATCTAATGGAGCACAGTGATTTTACAAGCAATTTTTTTTATTTTATTTTTTAAAATTTTCCCTTGAACATTGTTTTTGGATTCAAAGTGACCATAACTTTACTTGATACAGTAAGCAAAGTGAACAGCCTTTGCACTGGGTGCACTGTGTTGTTAATTTTTAGAGCTGACTAGAGGTATTGATGGGAACTGTAAACGGGCTGTGATGCCCAAAGATAGTAAAAGGGGCCCATCTGATTATGTGGCACTGTTATTGGCTGCACAGTGCTGACTTCAATGGGAGTCAATCCTACTGGCTCTTGATCGTCAGTAGTTAACCATGAGTTGTTAGTGACAGCTTGGTCAGTATTCTGGGGCACAAATGGAGCACACTTCAAAACAAGACCTGTCACTTCATAAATGTGTATTGCTGCTGTAAATGGGTTAATAAAACCTGAAATGAGAAGTGACATCATCCAAAATGCAGTGACAAACAGCAAACAATCAGATTTTGTTTTTTTTAAACCATATTAGTGAATAGTAGGTTCTGATTTGCTGCAATTGACTCTACTGTGACCAATTAAAAAGGATCCTAGAATCCACATACCTTAAAATATACAGTATTTATCCCCTACAGTGAGGATTCACTCTTCCAAGAGCCTGCAGTTATACGTTCATGATCATTAACAAGTTTTATATTGGTTTTTCAAATGTCTTTTTTACAGAGTGTGGAAATGTTCAACTGGTACAGTATTTTTAACTTATGTATACATCTCCCGATTTCCACTCTTTAGAGAGTGCTGACATTTGAAAGTACTATCAGTCACATCCCTGACAACTTTGTTTAGGTCTCACTAAACACAGAGATTTGCCGGCTAACAAAGCAGTATATTTTAGATGACAGTCTACAGTCTGTTACTATTTTATAAAATGTTAAAAATAAGGATGGCATTAGGATGAGCAGACCTCCCATTTAGAGCAAGACTTACATCTGCTGGATTCTTTAGCTTTTCATATACATACTGCCTAGGACTGTGTCCTATCTTCACTGTCTGAACTAGAAGCTGGCTCACTTTTATCTTTGGAACAAGAGAGCTTGTCATCTATGTCACATTCTGCACATAAACCATATGCCTGTATAGAAGAATCCATTTAGCCTATTCAGTTCTTGTGATTTTACTTTTGCAGCAGTACTTTGTAATATTTTCAATGCCCATGGTCATTAAAACAGTAAATTAGAAGCATGGCTGAAGCTCTTTTGGCCATACTTCTCATGTGGGACACAGGAGTGCACAGTTCTGCTCTCCTGTGACCCAGAATAAAGCCCGCTGTTGGCTGACGTCACAAAGTGGCTCCAGACTGTGAAGGGATCCCAACAATAAGGTTGGGATCTAACCATATGCCTTACAGGCAACTGGCACATCCTCTCAATGCACAGCTGAGAGGCTGAGCCATCCACTGAGCACATACATCATCCCATTTTCCACCGGATCTTTCATGAATTCTGGCCTCTCACCTGAGTGTATGTGTGTGACATTATGCAGCAGGCATCCAGCCAGCGGGGGTCAAAATCAAGAGGAGTGCACACAAAAAAGGCCTGTAAGCAGCCGAGTGCAGGGGCAACCAATTTTATTGAAATCCTAGGACAGTCCTGCAGAATCTGGAATGCTTGGAAGGGGTGATTTAATGTATGACAGATTTGTGAACAGCTTAAAGTGAACCTGTGGACAGACTATGGACGTCAAACTAATTACATGTGTTAAACAGTCAAAATACCTCTCAAACAAATACTCTCTGATTCTAAATTGGTCAGGCACAATACATGTAAATTTATTTTTTCAGCACAAGTGACTTGCTTTGAAATTGCCCTCTCCAGATGACCTGATAACCCTTTGACTCCCTCATCCCCCATCTCTGCTTTCTTATAAAAGCATGGACTTTTTTCCATTTTAATTTTAGGTTCAATGATGCATAGATTTTTAGATTTTTTGTTAGACCCTAATGTAATAGCAAACATTTTGCCCAATTATTCAGAGATCTAGACACCAATCATTTGGTTTCCATATCCTAAAAGTGTTACTAAACCCAGGACCCTGCATTCACTATATCTGGTCTCCCACAGTACACAGAACATGGAAGTGCAATTATTATTGTAAACATAAACTGCTAAATACCTTTCCTCACCAGCAGTTAGAACAGTCTTGTGACTTCTATCTGTGTCCAGCCCACCAATAGCTAAAGCTTGTAGGGGTTTTCTTTCTACTCTAGGAGGATACAAATCCCGACCTCTGTCTGGACAGTGCTGATTGGCCCTGTGCTGATCACATGCACTCTCCCAAGAAAAAAAATAAACTCTCTAGCAATACACACCAAACTGAGCATGTGCATGCATACAGTTCAGCCTGGAGATAAGAGGTGGTCACTTGAAAAAGGGGAGGAACAGAGAAGAAAGGCTCAAACAGCCTTTTTACACAATGCAGAGGATTAACCCCTTAGGTTCCACAGTGCGTATAACAAGCATGCTTTACTGCATATATAGACTGATTTTACTGTTGTGGGCTTAGTAACACTTTAAGGAGTACAAATAACCTCAACTAAGAACTCCTGGTCTAGATAATACTTAGTGAGATTTTATGTGAACACAGTAGATTATTGTACAACATAACATTGCAGTACTGACATCTCTGATTGATTATTTTGCCCTTTTTCATGAGAAATTGACTCAGAAATAATAATCATTCATAATTTACTTCTTTGTATCCTCATAGGAGTTGATGTGACCTCCATTTTTCCACTGGATTAAATGTTGTAGCCAAGTCAAGTGTATGTTCCCAGCAGAAATGTAAATATGGTCTATGTATAGAAGATGATTCAAATTAAAAAAAATGTAGTAACATGGCAACATGCTAATAGCTTGCACAGATGGTCCATCCTACTATAATATATATTCATTTACATTCTCAGAGTTTCATACATACCATCACTTAGTGGGTAATTAAGTGAACATTATGGATCCCAAGGCATAGCAGTGTTAGTAATGTACTAATAAAAATGCTTAAAAGGAAATATAATAGTTGGGTTAATTCTGTTTTAATGTTCATACTTTATTTTAACTTCTCTTTTTTACTTTAATTCTTGGGAGTGCACCATGGCAAGGTCATGCCATGCCCCTGTTTATACATTGTTTAACTGATGTTACATTATACATATATACAGTGCTCAGCATACATGAGTACACCCCAACAGATTTGTCAAAAAACCTTTCCTTTCCTTTCAGAATCAACATTTTCTATGGGACACTATACTACAAAATAGTCCCACAAATGCAGGCCATTGATTGCAAACAAGATTTTTTAATTTGCACACACAAAAAAATTAGTTATCCTAACAAATTTATTCCACACAACCTTTCATCCGTAAACAGAAAGCAGTCCTTGAGCATTTGTTTTCTTATTTTATTGAGGGGATTAGAACTTGGATTGGGTAAGGGTTGTATAGGATGTCCAATGGAACTGATATCTGAGGACAATTTCCTGAACTATTCACAGATTCTTTTCTGCAACACAGCTTCTGTTGGAGTTTTAGCCAACAGCTCCAGTTGTACTAGCAGACCACAGATGGACTCCTCTTCACCCAGCAATCTGGATACTTTATTCCTGAGCAGGGGATCCTGTTTCTTTAAATAAGGTGCTTAGTCACTAACAGAGGGTTAATCTGGTTTCCCACCAGAGTACTCCAGGGTGCCGGCATACTCACTCAGATCCTCTCCTTTACTGCTTGCAGGATGGGTGCTGCTACCAAGCCTTTCAGCTGGGCTGCTCCTTCCCTGCATTCAGGTGGTCCTCTGTCAGGGGGCCAGTGGGTTCTGAGTTTTCCTCCTTTCCAGCTCCAGGCTTGCAGGCAGACCCCATCCCACTAATCCTCCTGGCAGCCTTCCTCCTCCAGCCTCACATCTTCCTGCTCCACACTCCTCCTTTTCACCACACTCCTGCCACTGAGCAGGCTCTTCCACTTTTAAGAGAGTCCCAGCCCTTTACCAAGCCTCCTGTTGGGGATTGGCTGAGGTCCATCAAGAGTGCAGCTAGCCACTCTTCAGATCAACCCGCTGCCTCAAAGGCCCTTCTCCGAAAGCCTCAGAGCAGAGGGAAATTCCAGAAGGGCTGGCCTGCAGAGCCTCTCAGCCCTGACCAGAATTTGACCCTTCTGGCTATCTCACCTAAGCTGCTAATCAGCTCTTAACTAACCAATAGGGTGTAGCTCCCCCAAGCTAAACTAGGAGCATGGATTCATAAACGACCAAAGCTATCAAACAAATAAGATTTTTTTTTTTTTTTATGAGGAGGTAAGCAAAAACTTAGACAAAGGAGTGGCTGTGGATGTAGTATACTTGGATTTTGCAACAGCATTTGACACAGTTCCCCACACACGGCTAATGTGTAAGCTAAAGTATACAGGCTTGTAAAAATCAGTTTGTAAATGGATAAAAAACTGGTTAAAAGACCTTAATCAGAGAGTAGTGATTCATGTTTCATACTCTGAATGGTCTCGGGTTGATAGTGGTGTAAAATAAAAAGAATAAAAAGAAAAAAGAGGCTCATAGATTATATGTATCGCTAAACGTACAGTATCTGCCCAGTAACCAAAAACCAGACATCAAAAAAGAGGGGATGTGAAAAGAGATTCACAAGAATAGCTTTTTATGTTCTTTAAATCTAGTTTTAATTTCCTTGTCCTCAGTTGTTATTTTTGAATTTTCTACCATGAAGGCCCTGTGCATTTCTAACTCAATCTCTTCACCGGGAGTGAACGTCATGAAAATCCCCACTGTGTATGCCAGGTATCATACAAACAAAAATAATATACTCAAATTAAGGTGATGGGTAACTTAGTAAATTGTCAAGCCTCTATAGGAATAGGTCCATAAGAACCAAAAATATCAACACTAATAAAATAAAAAGAAAAAAGAGACTCATAGATTATATGTATCGCTAAATGGACAATATCTGCCCAGTAACCAAGAACCAGACATCAAAAAAGAGGGGACGTGAAAAGAGATTCACAAGAAAAGTGGTTACATTATGAACAAAAAGCGATACTCAAAAATTACTCAAAAAATGATGCTTTATTACAAAATGGCATGTATAGACATTTCAGGTAAATACCTCAGTTAGCCATTACCTCAAGATGAGACAATACATCAAAGTATGACCTAAAACCAGTTAAAAACAAACGTTATGACCAGTCATAAATAATAAAGTGCTGTAAATATAATGACACACGGTCTAGTATATATGCAGCACTGACAGATAGGTTACACCACGATGTAGGGAGTGTTTAAAAAAATTGTACCATATGACTGAGCATAAAATGCAGTGATAAAGCTGATAATAAGTACCAATGACAGTGGATGCAGTTGCCCAGTATATAACCTAAACAAGTTAGGGAAATACTATAAAGAGAATATAATCAATCTACCGATAATCTCACTAGCTGGGTGATAACCAGATCAGGTAGTAATTAGGCATAGTGAAGCAAAAATAGGTGGTGAGATTTCAGACAGCAACAGTCATGTCCATAATACTTGATAAGATGAACTTTATAATCATGGTAATGTCACCATATATCTTCCATCATGTGTAGTAGAAATGGCAGGGCCCTGCCTATGTGTAAAGGGGTTCTTCACCGCCACATGCGGGCTAAATACCTCCTTTATAATAATACTCTTTTCACATCCCCTATTTTTTGTTGTTAGTGGTGTACCTCAAAGTTCAGTGTTGGGACCCTTATTTTTAATATATTTATAAATGATAAAGGGTCTGGGATTAAAAGTACCATTTCAGTCTTTGCAGATGACACCAAGCTATGCACTTGGGGGATAAGAATATGCACACATTATACATACTAGGGGGAGTACAATGGGGGGGAATCAATGATGGAGAAAGATCTGGGGGTTCGGGTAGATCACAAGCTTAATAATGGCATGCAATGCCAAGCTGCAGTTTCCAAAGGGAGCAAAATCCTCTCTTGTATTAAAAGAGGTATAGACTCCAGAGAGAGAGATATCATATTACCCCTGTACACATCATTAGTAACACCTCATCTGGAATATGTAGTATAGTTTTGGGCACCAACTCACAAAAAGGATATCAGAGAACTGGAAAAAGTGCAGAGAGGAGCAACCAAACTGAAAAGAGGCATGGAGGAGCTCAGCTATGAGGAAAGGTCAGAGGAACTGAATGTATTCTTTATTGAAAAGAGAAGATTAAGGGGGATATGATCAACATGTACAAATACATAGGTGGTCCATATAGTGAACTTGATGTATAGTAATTCACTTAAAGGTCATCACAGAGGACAAAGGGGTGCTCTTTATGTCTGGAGGAAAAGAGATTTAATCTCCAAATATGGAAAGGCTTTTTCACAGTAAGAGCTGTGAAAATGCGAAATAGACTCCTTCAAAAGCTGGTTCTGTCCATTTCAGTAGATTGCTTTAAAAAAGGCCTGGATCCTTTCCTAAATGTAGATAATATAACTGGACACTGGGTTTATAAGTAAAGTTGATCCAGGGAATATCAGACTGCCTCTTGGGGCATCAAGAAGGAATTTTTCCCCTGCTGGGGCAAATTGGATCATGCTTTACTTGGTGGGGGGGGGGGGGGTTGCATTCCTCTGGATCAACTGTGAGTATATGATTGTGCATGTGGGATTTTTAAATATTTTTTTCCTTATTATTGGTTGAACTAGATGGACTTGTGTCTTTTATAATCAGTCTCACACAAGCAAACTGACTAACTCAGGAGACTTTGATGACCATTACTAATGCAGAAAATTGTAAGTTTATACTGAAAACATTTTTGAAAATGACGCAGACCTTTACATACACGGTGGTTTTTAATCAAACCAGATAAAATGCTTGACTGCATGTCTTTCACCATTTTGTAATGGTTAAAAATGACCTAGTATAAGACAGGAATTCCCTTTAACTGGAGCATTCAGTCAGATAAAACTACCGCTTCTGAAGCTTCTGTGCATTCATGTGCATTTCCAAATATACATGAATGCACATAAAGATTTGAGCTTCTATAAAAGTTAAATATATCCAGTAATGCATATAACGTGAAGAGTAATACTCTCATAAAAAAACAACCAGGAAAATGTGGTTATCTTCAGAAAAATAGTCTCCAGGTGGTAACTCATAGCACAAGTATTCAGCTCATACCTCTTGAGCAAACTAACAACTTGAACAAACTAAACACAATCTTCCTCAAAGTTGTTGTTTGTGCCATCACAAACCAATGGCAATAACAATAAAACGACAAATGGCAATAACCAGCTCTGCGGAGAAGCTGGTGAGGTCCCGAGCATTGCCTTGTGGGTGTGGA